TGATAGTTAAAGTGCGATATTTTCTATCATGAATCCAATTCATCACGTCAATACCAAGCACATTGATGTGAGCCACCATTTTGTTCAAAATTTAATTATGATGGCAATATTCTATTGAAAAATATAAATCCGAAAAAGAATCCATTAGGCATACAAAACTACCACCAGCCCAAAAGTTCATCGACTGTTGAATTTAAATGAACATTCAAAGTAATGATTTATTGCATGTTTAAACATTTTTAAGAACTACGCGAGATTTGATTCTTTTGGAAAGGGTAAATAAGTAACCATCTTAATGCAATCATTTTGATGTTGCACCTTACTTTGATAATGCCATAATTATAGACAGATTGTTGTGATATAGGCGTATTTGTAAAAAAATCAATTATTTTATTTTTTTTTATTAGTATGTCATAATTCTCTATTATTTATAGAAATGATTAAGATTGATTTTTATGTGTAAAGCTATATTGTGTTTAATTATTTATTTGTCGTGTGATTTTTTTTTTCCGCATTGCTTTTACACAACATTAACTAGCCAAACCATGTTGCTTGGAAGGCATAAAGAAAATTAGATACTTATATTACGCTTTTATTAAATAAATAATCACTTTATTTTGATAGACGACCATGGTTGGATGATACATAATGCTGGAAATTACAAAGGACGAGATTAAAATGTGAATATCGCCGCGCCGCTGGAGGGCTTCGATGCGAACACGTAAAGGCCCAGTTCATTGTTGTTGATGATGCCCTTCTCGATCCTGGACTTGTAGAATGATTCCTGTAATGGTAGCGAAGCCCACTAAGAAATTGGGTTGGGTAGTCTTTTATGTTCGGTGGCTTATCAAGCAAACATTATTTTCATTTTTATTTTTATTTTCATTTTTTTTTTTACCACCAAATACATAGATAGCACCTATCATAGATAGCACCTATGCTTATGGATTTACATCTCTCATATCTAAACTTTCATATTTACACACACTAGACTCAAATATGTAATATCACGTTAAAAATAGCACTACTATTATTGTAAAAAAAAAAGTAAAATATGAAAGGGCTATATATGTAAATATGAAAGTATAAGTGTGAGATATGTAAATATAAAAGAATTTTATGCTACCTATGTATACTTCCCATTTGGGGTGCGGTGAGTGCTCGAGCCGAGCGAACAATGTGCTACGCTTTCGACCGCTTAACATTAGAAAATGGATTCCAAGCGGATTAATACATTTATAGATTTTAAAAAGAAAATAAGAAAAAATTGAAATTTGTGAGGAAAAGACATAAAAGACCAAATTATTGGTGGATTAGTATTTCTATTTTCCTGAATTATTCTAGTAATTTGATCAATTAAAAATAAGAAATGGAATATGTGAAATGAGTGATAAGAGAGAGAAGAATGAACCTTCAAATTGAGAATAAACTGAGGAACAATGTTCTCTTTAACCAATGCAACTGCGCAGCCACCCCACCCAGCACCGGTAAGCCTTGCCCCAAGTGCTCCATTATCTCGGCAAACTTTCACCAGCTCCTCCAACTCAGGGCAGCTGGGAAACCAATTATACATAAAAATGAGGTCGTATGACAAATAGAACTTTTTAAATTTCAAGAATATTTGATGAAGAATCACATGATAATGAGAGGAAAATCCTTCAAAAAGTCCTAATTAATAAGAAAGCTCTATTTTAAAAAAGACTAATTATTGCAGTCTGAACATAATTAATATAAAAAAAATTAATTTGGAAATAAGTTCTTTCCTAATGATTACAAATTTTTAACTATTTTATGATATTCAAATGACATAAAAAAGAATTCCCATCATCTTAGACTTGCATAAGGTGAAAGTTCAATTTTAAAATGAGATTCTCCGGATTTTTTTTTTCCTGATTTTTTTTCATTCATTTAATGTATTTAAGAATAATCTACATAACTTGTGCACTATTTTCTTATTTTATTTTACGATTTATATACAAAATTAATTAGCAAAAAAAAATTTTCTTATTTAAGGACAGGTTTAATCATTTAATTTTTAAACTTTAGGGCATCATTAAAATCACATTTTATTATTTATCAATTCTAAATTAGGCTCGTAGATTGAAGAAAGCTCAAAAATTGAGTCAAGCCAACTAATAACACATTTGGCTCGACTCGGGATTATATAAGATAACTCGGAGCCAATCTTGAGCGAAAATCAAATCCTCTGATACATGAAAAAAACTATTAAAAATTATGCTAAAAACGAATGAAACAAAAAAAAATTGTTCCGTCAAAAAATTTATTGCACAAAACCTAATCTTTATTCTACCATATGGTGCATTTCCTTATTTCAAATATGCCCAAGTCATTTCATTCAATAGCATTAAAATGATCATATATATTTTTGTTTTAAGATTACCACTACGTTCAAGGTGATGGTGATATAGATGGGGATGTAATTAGTAGAATTTAAGTTGGATGGTTGAAGTGGGAGAATGCAGCGGGCCTATTATGTGATAGAAATGTGATAGAAAAGTACCATTTAGACGGAAAAAGGAAAATTTAATAAAATGGTGATGAGACATGCAATGCTTTATGGCGCATAATATTGGCCTGTAAAAAAGAAGCATAAATTAAGTGTTGCTGAGATGAAAATGCTCGGGTGGATGAATGGTTATACACTTGGAGACAAAATGTGAAACGAAAATATCAGTGAAAGGGTTGGAGTAGCAAGCTCCACTGGCAGAAAAATATAGAGAGATTCCTCTTATTAGATGCTTTGGTCACATTAAACGTCGACCATCTGATGACCCTGTTTGATGTTTTTTATTTGACTTATGCTAAGAGGGGTAGCGATAAAGCTCAAAAGATTTGGGCATGTTTTATAAAAAAAAAAATCTTAATTTACGAGAATTGAATTAAAATATGACACGCAATAGAACAAAATGTAGAAAAAGGATTCATGTAGCTGACCCACTTAGTGGGATAAAGGCTTCTTGTTATTGTTGTCGTATAATAACCTCTACCCTAATGCCACTCAACTATCAAATTGCTACCAGATAGTGGTCGAACCACAATGGGATGGTCATCTGGCTAGTGTGGTCATCGATGAATCTCTCATCACCGGCTATCAAACCAAAATTGTAAGAGGTACAAGAAAGGATTAGCTATTCTATCTTACTTCTTAATCTTCTAAAAAAAATTAATGGCCTACACGATTCTAATGTTGGAGTTTACAAGAGGGGCTCCTGAAGAAGTAGAAGATTAGGTTAAAAAAATAAGAGAAAATTTGATGCCAAAAATATAAATGTTAAGGAATTGATGCCATTTATATAAATCCTTACTGAAATTGTGAAATAATAAATGTTTTGCATTAATTAACTAGAAGTAACTTAAATTGTAACAGCATGAAAGATGACTTGAAGTTTCCAGGCAAATCACATGAGAAGAAAGGTTGGTCATACCTGCATTCATACAAAACACTGCAGCTGTGATGACTCTCATTCATTAGGTCTCCAAGCTTTTGAAGCATGTCCTCATCACTGCAAAGGAATATTGTAACGGCTTAAAGTATTCAAAAAGTATGAAGTCATAAATCATTTTGTTTCCGAATTCATGTCCATTAACGAATAGAGGAAGCAAAAGATAAATGATGTTTTTTCCTTTTAAAATTGTCGCTTCAGAAAAAATTGACATTAGGAAGTGGAAAAGCGATAAATTTATGCCATATTTCAAGTAATTTGAACAAGAATCAGTAGAGTGAGAACAATTTAAAATTGCTCCACTATGAAGCCAATCTTTGTGAAATGATTAAATGCACAATTAATTAACAAACAATGATGAAGTGTGAAAACAATCTTGACAAACGTCTCTGAGCCCATAACGTAGGGGCCGTTGCATCAATTTTATTATTTATTTATTTATTTTTAAAAAACATTTTTTGTTTATAGAAATAAATTGTTCAAGTTCTTTTTATAAAAACTCAAAAAAAAAATTGTTTTAACTGTTCTTAAAAGCAATCACCAATATAAGTGGCTGCATAGCTACCGATGCTTCCTTTGTCAAACACCTCCACCTTCAGCCATTGTTGCTAGCCACAACTGACACGGGGCTTTCCCTCCCCTCAATCAAGCCAGGCAGCTGGATCAGAAGGCTGAAGTGATTCATCCATAGGGAGGGAGGGTGGCCGGCCCAGGGGATTAGGGCTGCCCAACAGGAGTGGCCCCACCTCTCCTAGTTATCTACTAGTATTTATATATTATTTTCTATGTTGAAGTATGTTTTCGTTGTGTTTTATGTCAGGACAGCCGACGAAGTCCCCAATTTTCCCTAGTGTATATGGTGTGTATCCTTCCTTTTATTGCTTGTCGTCGTCAATTCCATCAAAATCCCTTCCTGATCTACAACCGCCTCCCTCAGCATATTTATGCCCTCTGCCACCCGTAATTGGAGACATCAACAGGAGCACCCCTCAGAGAGTTGAGAAAACTAGTTCGAATATAAGGACAGAACCATTCCGAGTGAGAAGAAGTTCAAGAAGAGTAGAATGCCTACTACAGTCCCCCCACAAAAATGATGTATATGTCATGGATTAGAGCACATCACCTCCTATCTTTTACCAAGATGGGCGCAGTGGAGGAGTTTAGCAACGAGGAGGCAGCACGAAAATGTTAAAGTACTAAGATAAATGTGATGAACATCAATGAAATAAATGAATAAGTTATCAAAGGAGTCACCCGCTTATGACACTATCTGGGAATGCTATTTTACCCTTACACGAAAACGAAAATAAAAAAATTATACCTTAATTGATATAATTTTTTTATGATGCACCTGACGTAATTTAAAAAATGAAATGTAAACGCAAAAAGGTTTTTAAGATCTATAAATATAAGAGGTGTAAATGTAAAGATGCAAAAGCTTTAATAACAAAAATTAAACTTAATGTTTGAGCATTTTAAACTGCACAGTTGTTAGACCATATGGACAGTAATTAGTAAAATGTAAAACTATAACTATTCATTAAATTATTGCTAGACTTATTCTGTAGTTTAAACGTTTCCTTAAAAAAAATTGCATTGAATTAGAATAGCTGATAGAAAAGAATATGTTTATAAAAGAAGGGAATCAAATGAAAGCAGTTATCAGACCTATTATTTTTGTACTGTTTCTTTTCTCACTTGTATTGTTATACGCTAGATGTTCTTACGTGTTTGGTTTGGTTGATGTTTTGCATATTTTATGATTTAGCGGCTCATTAATTTTTGGATGTTATAGTGGATTGCCATGAATCTGTTTTGTATTGTGTATCTCTATTCCCATTATGAAAAATCCAGACTTTCAGGCCGAGTCATGAAAGTTTATGTTCTCCATACGAGAAATACAAAGAATTTTAAGAAATGATGGTTCTTATCAATAGCTATTAACCAACACAAGAAAAAGAGAAGCTAAGAATTCAGCCATCATATGGCATAACCAGTGAGCAAACCAGTTTCAATGCACGGAGAAATATCAAAAGAACAAGCGGCAATATGACAGAATTCTTGAGAGTGAAGAAACATGATGTAAATTCAAATGAAGGCTTATGAGAATGAGTAAGATTCCTTCCCAGTAAATTGAACATAGCAAAAACAGTTTACACATATTTTGATGGAAAAGGCAATCATTTAAAATAAGAACAAGCTCAATGAATCAAAACTTAAATATGCTACATTCTTCACCAAGAAAATTAAGGCATTCAAACAGTAAATGAATAGCTAAGAAGAGTATATAAACTGAAGGCTAAAAAGGTGAACCGAACCTCAGATTTGAGGACACTGTGTCTCTGAAAGCATATACACGCTTAGCTTCAGAAAATACATGGGAAGCTCGCTGAAATAAAAAAATGTGAAACAGAATTAACCACATAGTTATGAAGGATTAAAATGAACAACTTATTACATAACCTATAAAAATGCCATATTCCTTCATACAAGAAGTCATCATCCCCCTCATTAGCCTTATCCCAACTAATTTGAGTCAGTATTACAAATCCTTATTTTTAATTCATTTAATGGAAGCGTTTCTAAAATGTTAAATCAATTTCTCCCAAATCATTTTGAATAACATAGGAATATTGATTTTTCTTTTAAATCCTCTAACAGTAATTTTATAAATTTGTCTGATAAACAAATTTTCTGCCATTTGCTATAAATGTTAAAATAACACAAATCTATTGTCAGTCATTTTATCTCCAAGATGGCACTCCAACTTTTTCTTTACAACTAAAGCAACACAATATTATAAACCTAATTGTGATTTTATAAAATTTAAAATCTCCATGATTTCCGCTTGTTACAAAACTCCCAATGCACTTCAACCTTTTAACCACCAACCTTAATACTGGTTGTTATATCCTTATCTATGTTTCTTTCGATAATAGATATAGGATATTTGAATCTATTGCACATAAATAATACTTGAACTTCTAATAATATTGAATGATATTTGTTAGCATCTTATTATCAATTTTTTTTCTAGTAGTTTTAAGGCCTCTATCTTCTAAATATTTTTTCGAGTACTATAAATTCTTTACTTATTTTAGTGGATGTCTCACTAAATAGAAGAATATCTTCAGTAAAGAGCATATACTAAAATCCTTTGCTCTGAAAATCCTTTGTAAGTATCCTCATAACTAAAACAAAATGAATATAGACTCAATGTTGATCTTTAATATAAACCTAGGATGATTTAGAAGTCTTAGATAATTAGATTATTTGACAACTAATTCTAATACTACTAATTAGTGCCCCATCATACATATCTTTAATGATCTCAATATAATCATTGATACAAACCTTCCTGCCTCAAAGCACATCAAATTAATTCCCATGGCATTCGATCATATACTTGCTCAAATTCAAAAAAACTAATAAAAACTATATCATTATTCACTATAATTCTCAATTAATTATCATAATGTACAAATCACTTCTATAATGATCCATACTAGCATGAAACCAAATTGGTCCTCCAAAATGAAAGTTTTTAAACTTATGTTCCATTATTCTCTCTCATAATTTAGTTTATTAATCAAATTTAGTTCCTTTATAGTAATCATAACTTTAAACATATCCTAAATATTGATGCCAAAATGCTCCTTTTGCATATACCAAAATGCTTCTTTTGCAATTCTCTAACTCTTAATTTGTATTTTATATGGATCTAAAGACACATTATAATCATTTTAGAATCAATTGCACTTCTTTATGTCAAATAAATATATAATATACTTTATTATAATGTTTGTTTTGCCCATAAAAAATATGTTCTCTTTAAAACACTTATTCTTCTCAAAATAACATTTCCATTTGCCATTTATAACTTCATCTTTAACTAAGATCCATCTTCACTATGGCGTTGGATGTTGGCCTTTAAAAGAGAAGCAAAAAACTAAGTGAAGCAAAAAACTAAGTTAAGTGTTACCGAGATGAGAATGCTTACGTGGATGAGTGGCTTCACATTTAGAGACAAAATGGGAAATGAATATATCCGTGATAGGGTTGGTGTAGCTCCAGTGGCGGACAAAACTAGAGAGTCTTCTTAGATGGTTTGGTCATATTAAATGTTGACCATCTGAAGATCTGATTGAGAGAGTAGATGTTTTATATTTGACTTGTGTTAAGAAAGGCAGAGGTAGGCCTACAAATACTTGGGCATAATGTATAAAAAATGATCTTAATAAAAAAATGATCTTAACCTATTAGAATTAAACGAAAATATGACACTCAATATGACGCAATGAAGAAAAAAAATTCATGTAGCCGACCCCACTTAATGAGATAACGGTTTGTTGTTGTTGTTGTTGTTGTTGTATTAATTCTGATATAAGTCTTATAACTAATTTTCAACTTATGATTCACACGCACTTGTACGACATGATATGACTTAAGCACGAGAAAAATCTATTATTAAAATTACATGAGAAGAACACGCGTTGATATGACATTATAATTTTTCTATCTTAGCATGGTATTACGCACTTGTACCCCATGTTCTGTTCTTGTCAAAATTATTTAACTAAAATTACATAATATAAATAAAAAGTTGTGAATAAATATCTCTTATAGGACATTGGAAAATGCATATAAAAATGTATCTAATGACATCCTAGTTCACCTTTGCTTAATAATCATCATAATCAAGTTAATTATGGTGTGTCACTAAGGTGATGTTGAAGAGCCACTTTATATACTTCTTAGCACACTTGGATAGGCATATTGTTTACGAGGAATGCATTTGCACTAAAAAAAATCAATGTGACTTTCTTTCATTAATTTTGACATGAGTTCTATAACTGATTGTCAACCGATGATGCAAGGGCACATAAACAACATGATATAACACCGAAAGAAAATACTTCTATTATTAAAAATATAGAAGAGGAATATGCATTGGACATGATATTACAATTTTTATAACTTAAAAATTAGGCATAACACATAACATATAAATAAAATATTGAGAACAATTATCATTTATTACACATCTGGCCAATGTATATAAGAATTTATCAAGATAATATAGCGAAGTTTGCATTTATTGTACACTCACAAAGAAATACACCATTCTGATAAGAAATAGAAACCCCATGTTCTGTTCTTGTCAAAATTATTTAACTAAGAATACAAGATTTGTTAAATCTCATCATTCACAAGATTTATTTAATTCTCCTTATCATAAATCTTAGGGTTTACCAAATTTCATAAAAGCCTATTTGAACTAAATCCTATTTTTAGTCTGATCACTTTTTATTGACAATAATAAATCTTTTGCTTGACAAATTCAATACCAAGTAGATACACAATATTAATATTTGAGAGAAAAGCAAATGCAAGTAAGAACTCGATTAAATATGAGGATGATTAAACTTGTGAGGATTTCAGTGCAGTAAGAAATGAAAACAGAAAAAAGACTAAATAAAAAACATGAACTACAACAAGCCACTAATGAAAATATAATGTCAAATGCCTATGGAGTGCAAAAATGTAAGAAACACACATGCTCACTATTTGTACGTTCCAAAATACTAACCACGTGAAAGAAAGGTGGTGGTAAAGAAAGAAATTTAAAATAAGGGGAGGAAGTATTGATTTTTTTAGTTTTTTACACGCACATACACAAATAAATGCACACCACATACGCAAGGCCTTGAGCCCATGACCTCTTGGTTGAAAAATAAAGCTCTCGACAACTAGACCAAAGTGGCTTCCCTAGGAAGTACTGAAATTTTGAAATAAACATAATATAAATCATAGAACTTTATTTTCATATTTTCTATTTATGATATTAAGATGAGTGAGTCAGACATATAGGAATTTTTTTATTTTTACATGTGCCAATATCGCATGTCAATGGTCAACATACATCGCAAATTGCATAACCTACCATCATGTTTCAATCCTTCTCATCAGTGATAGGTACTATCAAATTCAAAGCAACGAAGAAGAGTGTACTTAACCATATATTACTGAAGTTCTGAAAGCCAAAGTTCTGACCATCTCCGTGAGGTTATTTAGGAGCTTAAACATGGTGAGCTTAAAAGGTTAAAGCATATGTCATTCAACTAATTCTGATGGCTCCAAGCAAGTTAGAAAGCAGACGACAGGGATGCCGAAAAAGCTAGAGAGAGAAAGAATAAGATATGATAGGGATATAAGAAAACAATACAAGGAAAGCTGCAAAAATACCACAATTACCTGTTAAGTGGAACAAAAACAGTCAAATCAATAGATAATTTTGCATGGATTAGGTTATTTGGTTATGACAAAGTTGGTTAAAAAAAAAAAAAGGATCCAAACAATCAGTAGAGAGAGAAGAACCTTGAATATAACAACTAACCTAACTGAAATTATGGCAGGTGGGACTAAGTTTTTACAACATATCCATAAAAATTAAACCTTAATCAAGCAATCAAAAAAGAAATGAAAATGATAAGACAATAAGCAAACTTGTTGTAGGTGGAGCACAAAACTCACTCTATAACAGTATTAATCAGCAGTTGCACAGTTATTACAACACACACACACACACAGTAATTTCCATTATCTAGATACAGTAATGATCCTTGCCTTTACAAAATGAGAGAAAATATTTGGCACAAATACTCAGTATTCCATGAATGAAACGGGGTACTAACTTACCTGGAATAGCTTAAAATTTTTAGCAGCGTTCAGAACATCCAATGAAGATGGTGACTTTTCAAAGATAGATTTCAGTGGTTCCAATGTGATTCTTTCAATATCTTCTGCAGTATAAGGCTCTTTTTTCAAAAGTTCCTGTATAACGAAGCAGAAAAATGACTAAAGTTGCAAAACATGTCATAAGGAATAATATCTAGTTACAAATATTGTCGAAGTAATCATTTTCATGCAAAAAAAGAAAAGGCAATTTTGGTTGATTTAATCATGCATGTCTGAGAAGAAAGAATTGCTCAAAACCTACTTTGTACATTCATAACATAGGCTTAAATAGAGTATTACAATGTTTTACAAATAAACCCTTAGAATTTTTCAATATTCCCTCTTTTTTTTTCAATAAGACCCTAAATTATGTCCAATTCTCAACACTCCCCCTCAAGATGGGCAAAAGATATACACTAAGCCCATCTTGTTACATACACCAGGCAAATCTAATGAACTAAGTCCTTTAGTAAGGCAGTCAGCCACTTGCTCTCCAATAGCTACATGACTTAGCTCCAGCAGCCCATTATTCAACTCTATGAATCACCACATGTTTGGTTCTATCATGTAGCACCAAATTGTTGTCAATGTTGATTGCTGACTTGTTGTCGCACCAAAACTTCATTTGAGTTCCTTGGATCACCTTAGCTCAACCAACAAGGCTCTCAATTACATCATCTCGACAACTCCTAAGGTCATGGCTATGTACTCAGCCTCTATTGTTGACCTCGCTACTACAGACTCTTTCTTGCTCTTCCAAGAGACAAAGTTGCCTCATACGAACATGCAGTATCTTGAGATGGATCTTCTGTCATTTGCACAACTCACCCAGTTAGTGTAACAAAAGCCCTCAATGTCTACATGCCCATTCTTCTTGAAGATCAACCTCTTCACGACTGCACACTTCAAGTACCTCAAAATCTGATAAAATGCATCCATATAACACTTCCTTGGATCATGCATGTGCGGCTCACCGCGCTCACTGCAAAAGAAATGTCGGGTAGCTCTCACGATCAACTAATTCTCCTGTCTCTGCACTCAACTAAGCCTCTAGTCAATTGGAGAGACTGCATATTTACACTATTTACACCCTAGCATATCTATTTCTATGAGAATATCTAGTGCATGCTTTCTTGGGGACAAAACCATCCTCTCAGGTCCACGGGCTACTTTAATCTCAAGAAAATATATGAGATGTCTAAGATCCTTCACCTTAAATTCATTTCCCAATCTTAACTTTAGTTGGGCAACTTTTATCTCATCATCACCGATGACAATGATATCATCCACATACACAGCAAGTATAGTTGTGTGACATTCATGTTGTCGAAAGAACATCGTATGGTTTACTTTGATCTGTTAGTATCTCATGCCCTCCATAGTCTTTCTATACATGTCAAATTAGGCTTGAGGTGACTGTTTCAAGCCATACAGTGACTTTCTAAGTCTACACACCTTGCCCACTGTTTGGGAGTATCGAATCCTAGTGATATCTTCATATATACCTCTCTTAGTAACTCACCATGAAGAAATGCATTATTTACATCAAGTTGGTGTAATCTTCACCCACCATTTATTTCCAGAGAAAACAGGGTCATCACCGTGCTCATCTTTGCTACTGGTGCAGAGATTCATTATAGTATGATTGTTCCCTTTCGCCAGCAATCTTGCTTTATATCGCTCCATCCTTTCTTTTGGAGTTTGGTTCACTGTGATCATCCACTTGTGCCCAATTATATTTTTCCTCGCTCGTAGTGGCATTATCTCTAATGGTCAGTTTTTATCAAGAGCCCTAAGCTCTTTATGCATAGTCGTTTTTCACTTGAGATCCTTTTTAGTAACCTACCAACACTTGGGTATAAAAATAGTGTCCAAAGATGCAATGAATGATCCATTTAAATATGATATGATAGAATATGAAACAAAGCAAGCAATATCATATTCCTACCCAAAACAATCGATAGGATGTCCCGCATTCCTGCTAAAGTTGGGGGGTTAGGAGAAGATAAAGGAGGAATCATATAACCTAGGAGTTCTGCGTCGGAGGTTGATGGTGTTGGCGTCTCAAGAGTCGGGGAAGGTCGGGACAAGAGACTAGCAAGTTCAAGTGGCATTGCATACATTGCAAGCTCAACTCCCTCATTTTGCTTTCTTCTTCATGTATACACCCTTAGCTGACCTTCAGCCTAAATCCCACCACCTCTGGGTTCACTCCTCATTTTCCAATTTCTCAGCTAATTCATGCATCACAAGACAAGGCATTTCTCTCATATGTACCACTCTTTCACCATTGCGTTCACTCCCCTCTTGACTCACATCTTTAGTATTTGGTGACTCACCAAATATGATATCACCACCTAGGTGAAGTGTGGTTCAAAATTTCTAAATGACGCATCTATGCTCACAAACAGTCTCTTCTCTATCTGACTTTAGCAAACATAGCCCTTCCGGGAAGCAGAATAATTTACAAACAAACATTTCACAACTCTGGGATCCAGTTTTTCTACTGATGGCATGTGATCCTTCACAAAATATTTACATCCAAACACCTTCAATTGGAGGATTCTGCTATCATCTCCTTTCAAAATCAGACAAGGATGCTTCCAATCTAACACCCTCGAGGGCATCCTGTTGATCAATTGAGCAGCTGTCAAAACTACTTGCCCCATAAGTGTTTTGGGACATTCATTGCGATCATCAAGCTTCAGGCTACCTCTAGATGATGCATATTATTTCTCTCTGCTACTCCATTTTGTGTCGATGTGTATGGATATGTGATTTGATGTTGTATCATTGAGCTAACAAGTACTCCCCAAATGCTTTTTTGGTATATTTTAACTCATTACCAGGCCTCAATATCTTTACTACTGCAACATATTAAGTCTGGATTGTATTGTGGAAGTCATTAAATCAATCAAACATATCACCCTTATTTTTCATCAAAAATAACCAATTAACATGAGAAAATCAATCAATTTAAATCACCAAATATCGATAATAATTCATCAAAATTGTATAACAATGTCCTCAAACATTAGAAAATATGAAGTCCAACATACAAAACTCCTATTCTCAAAATTGATATAAAAGCTCCTAGTAAGCTTATCAAACTCACAAGCATCATAAACAAGCTTTTATTTATTTGTTTTTTTTCATATAAAGAGTATACAACTGACTCAATAAACTAAAAAAAGAGTATCTCATATGTCTATGATGTAGTAGCAACACATCTTTCACACTCCTCACAGAATCTCCTACTCTAGAACTATCTACCATGGATGTCAAAGCTGAGTCCATCCCCTCCCAGTCCAAGTACCAGACTCAACTATGTCACGTTCCAGTTTCAAGTATCTAACCCGTCCCTTTCTCTTAGAATATCACCTTGAAAATATCCAGCAGCATGTTTTAGTTGAAGAATAATGACACTAATAGATAAAATGTTCACTCGAAAAGGAGCATGCAAAACATTAGACAAAGTCATATAATTACTACCTCTCACTGTACCCTTACCAACTACAGGTTGTGTTGTAACATCAACAGTCTTGATGTTCTCTATTACTGCTAAGGGACTATAGAAAGAAAACTTCCTAACAGGACTTATCACATGTCAAGAAGCACTAGGATCTATTATCCATTTTGATGATCCTTTGTGAAAATAGAGGCAAGAGCAGGTGTATCATAAGTATCATTATCAGAGTGAGCATAAGTGACAATATTACCCATTGATGATGACTAGTTGGAAGCATCCTCAGCCCCATCTCCTGCGACTTTTTGTTTCCTCTTCAACTACTCCTAAATACTCATGATCCCCATTAGTAAAAACTGCTCCTGTCCCTCCTCTGCTGCCATCAGATTTTCCCGATAGCCCCCTTTTCCACCTTTTCGACCACCACGACCACGACCATAGTCCACCAGTCTCTCTCTTTCCTTAGGTGGCCTAAGATAGCTTTTGCTCAAATTTCTAACTTCACTATGAATATAACACTTGTGAGTCTCCCCCTGAACACCTATCATACCTGAGCTCGAGGTAGCCAATGCTGATAGCGCACTCAGAATTCCAGTAGGCTCAATGTAGTTGCATGCAGCAACTCTCCTCTTGTATCATTGCAGCAATAGCCTCATCAGGTGAAGGGATAGTCTCCTGAGCTAGGAAGACTAATCTCTGATCAAAGACTAGGTTCAGATGGGCCAAAAACTGCAATCCTCATTTGTGTAAGGATCTCCTCTTTCTTGCACTCTGGATCGCCACAACTCGACATCGATGAGAAGTGATCAAAATTTATCCACATCCGCTCCAAATCTATAGTGTATTCCAAAATCATTTTATCATTCTGTACAACTGTTTCTATCTCATGCTGAATCTGGAACACCCTCTATGTGATTCTTCGTCCAAGCATAAATTTTCTTCAGCTTTGCTCAGATGTCCCTCACATTTTGAATGCCATCTATTAAAGATACAATTGACGAAATCATCAAGTTGAGTAACCAATTGTAGATTAAGGCATGTGTGGTTCTCCACTTATCCCCCTCAGCACTGTCACTCTTTGGTTCGTCCCCAGTCACCTAGTCTCTTCTCTACTAAAGCGGTCTCAACATACGTGGCCGGTCCATCGAGCTTTAAATCCACTGGAGGGATATCTAGCTTCACCTGCGACAAAGCAAGTGTCGAGGTAGTGACTCTCGTCGACACGCTAGCTCCCTGTATAAGCTCGACTAGGACCTTCAGAACTTCGGGATCTATCTTCCCCAAAAACTCCAAGCCTTTACCTATCGCACTATCTCCATCTTCTGACATCCTCAATCACAAAGATCCAAGCGTAGATCACGCATCCTTTGCATATATAAACCGCGATCCCGCGTTGCCTTCCCAGTTAGCTCTAATCCTCGCGATCCCATCGTAAGCATCCCAGGTAGCTCTTTCTGGCACTATAATGACATTTAGTCGGGATCTCATCGGCTGCTTCATCCAGCTTCGAAAGGATGAAGGGAAGGACGATCATAGAAGGAAGCGTCGACCCGTCCTGCAACTCAGTGAGGCAGTCTTCTCCGCCCCCTGACTCCCAGTGAAATGAAATCGTTCAACCGAGAGCCATCAGCCGACAATGCCGCTTCAAAGGTGGAACGAAAGCAGAAGGGAAGCGTGTTCTCTGGAAGAGAAAGTTTCGGGTCTCTAAACGCCCAATCCAGAAGATCAAACAGTGTGATAGCTATTAGGTTAGGGCTCGGATGCCAAGAAGAAAGAATTGCTCAAAACCTACTTTGTATATTCATAACATGGTCATAACATGGGTATTACATTGTTTTACAAGTAACCTACTAAACTTCTTCAAAATTCTTTTTTTTCCAATACAAACCTAAATTAGGTCCAATTCTCAACAGTCTGCTTCTGCAAGAAATTCATGTTCTCATAGCATTGGAAGATGCATTTGAAAAGAAATCAGTTAAGAATTTGCAAAATGCATTGACTTTAAAGCCAATACAAACGACTTCTTCTGTAAAGTTGTCCTCTAACCATAGCAATGGATGTATCGTTACCCACAAGGTAAAATTCAACCATGATTAGGACATTCATAATCCCCATGGATAAGTTATTATCACAACATCATGAACCTTAAAACCAATAATGCTGTGTTGAGAAAGGAAGAATCATTTGTAAAAGGAATAAAAAATTAAATTAAAAGATTAAAATAACATATGAAAATGTCGAAAGAAACTTGGGGGGTAGAGATGAAAGATGAGTTAAATGTTAGGAGACCGTCATAATTCTACTAACTATCAATACCAAATTAAGCACAAATTCTACAAACTTTCATCTCAAAGCGCATACACGTCATAATGTGAATCTTTCTCAGCATATTTATAGAACTTCACAAAGAAAAGGCATACAATTTACATTGGCTAGTAATATTATTGGCTAAAATAAGAAAGCCAAGTAACCGAATCAGAGTACAATAAATAAATAACAGAAAAGTACAATAAATGTTAGAACAACAAAAAAATAAAAAATAAAAAAAGGATCTAAAATAAAATAATGCTTTAGAACAAGGAGAAATAGAATTGACAGAACCTTCACAGCAAGACCAGGATTCGAGGATCCACGGTTCTCTGCAAACTCTATGCACAGCCTTTCAACATCAGATAAAGTTTTAAACTCAGAGACTGCCTCTTTTGTATTCTTTCCAAGCTTTATGGCAAGAACAATCTGGAGAAATATTTTTATTTGGATAATGTTAGTCTTCCCTAAGAATATATAATATATCTGGCATAAATATGAGTTTGGAATAAAGTTAATCCAGCCTGCTACTTCAAAGAAATTCAGTATTCTGAGGTAAAGACTTTGTTTGGTCAGGTGTACCGTGCACAGAGCAACAGCACCCGCAGACCGCAGTCGTGCTGCATGGAACTAGTTCAGTTTACTGGGGGCAAAGCTTTCTTGCCTGCACGCCAATGATAAACTGTTTTACACCGGCGCTCAACTGGCACTTGTATAAAAGTAGGCAATGTTTAGGTTATGAAGAAGTTGCTACATTACCGAACAAACCCCAACTAGTTATACTGTGTATCTCGCTACAGTAGAAGAATTCTTTTATAGAAACATAGGAAAATTTAATGTCTATAATTCTTGCCATAAACAGTCTCAGATCAGTAAATGTGGTGAACATTTATAAAATATAACCAATGACAATACACAAGTTTGTTTTCTGTTAGACCATGAAACTGCAATAGTAAACAAAATTCATTTAAGAGGAGTACGCCAAACTTTTGATCATAGAATGAACGATAGGGGCTTCACAAAAGTTGTTATGCTCAAAATACTCTAAATCTCCTTCGCAGAGATCTCCAAAGAAATACATAAGTTCAATGAAAAAGAGCATAAGGGAAAGGAAATTTCGGGAAACTAATGAGATAAGTGGTTGAGGTTGGGGTAGCATATGTGTGCTTGTGCATTCATTCTTTCAAACACAATACGAAGGGTATGATTTGTTGTGAAGAAACAATAATAACTTTGCTTCAGAATTGACAGAAAGAAAGGAACTCCTATAAGACAATTTTCAGCACTGTCATCCTACCAAATGCAAACATATATAAGCATGTTTAGGGGAAACTAATAATGTCTCCTGTTAAGTATTACTTGCATTATTTACTTTGAAAAATGAATAATTTTTAATCAACCAGAATAAAATTGAGTAATGTTTGCCTGATAATGCCCAATGCAATTAGAATGGAGATACAGGATGATACCATAAATCATGAATTAAGCAAAAACCATCAACTCCAAAGCAGATTAAAAGAAAAACTTACAGCAGCCAAGCGGCATTCAACGACGCGGTTATTATAGTTTGTCGCAGCAGTTACTGCTTTCTGGGATTCCGCAAGCGAATGTGCTATGATAAAAGTACCACCTGCTGGTAATTGTACGTCATTCGCACGGATGGGATTAAAATCAATTAGCTCCGCAAAACCAGACTTAGCCATGATAGAAATGGCCTGCCAAATATGAAAATTTATGCAAGATTAAAAAACTTTATATAATATGGAGATCAAAATACTCAAGTACTATAACAATAACATCACGAACTGTTTGGTTGATTCCATGTGAAGTAGAGGCGAAGGGTTCTGATAACAAAACAGCCTCTTTGCAATAACGGGTAAGGATTCAAAAAACTTTTTCCAACCCCAACTTTGTCAAGAATCTCAAGCATTTGGTATGTACTATACAGCTATATAATAATAGTTAAACGTATTAAATTAGCATCAAACCAATCCAACAGAATGTTGACAATATTTTGTTAGGCCGGCGCCCATGGTGCCTTCTTCCAAATAATTTGAAAACTTATTTGTGGCACAAGACTACAAAGGCAATTTAGTCATTTATTAGTTATTATTGTGGGATAAAATAGGGCTTAATATGTTTAGAGTTAGTTAGATCTAATTATTGTCTTGAATCTTAGGGTTAAGGTTTGAGAGAGATCGCCTACCTTTCGAATTTTAGGTGTTTATCTTTTATGTATTGGGATTATATCGTTTTAATTTGGTACGGATGGAATAAAATCTATTATTTTTTTCCCTGATTCCTGCAAAACATTGTCTCGTTCCTATCAAATCGGTATCAGAACATTCGAGACCGCTGCTCCGCTAGAGAACTTTGTCGTTCGACTTCGAGGTTGTTGCTCTGTCTCATATCGTTCTAAAATTGTCACTATGTCAAGTTCATGATTGAACCTCGCGATAGAATCACAATTCGAGTTAGCTGGGAAGCCAATGACAGGATCATCAGTCACGTTCATGATGGAACTTAACGATATAGTTGCGATTCGAGCTAGCTCGAAAATCAAATATGGGATCCTAGGTCGCCCTTGTGACTGAACCTCGCGATACAGTCATGATTCAAGGTGGCTGAGAAGCCCCACAACATCGTCTACATGAATGAAACTCACAATACATTCATCTTCATAGCCAAACCTCGTCATATAGTAGTGTTTTGAGCTAGTGGGAAGCTCCGCGACATCGCCTTCATTACCGAACCTCGTGTTACAACTGTGATTCCCCCTCCATGATTAAAAATCATTATAAGAGTAATGGCGGGGTATTCTCCTCCATAGAAGGGAGATTCATGGCCCTAGAAGAAATGATAAAAAAGATCGCGTAGTTTCACACAAACCCATTGTTGCCTGCCAGAGGATATAGCGACGGCGTCTAAAGCAAACGCTAGAGGCAACAAACAGAAAAATTCATGCGACATCGAGGCAATGAAACTGTCTTACGCAAATCTGGAGCAGCAGAATCGTGCAAAGGAATCTAGAGCAGACTTAAGCGACAATATTTGGAATGAATAGTGTTAAATATGATGGCTTACATGGGCAACAACAGGCAAAACGGGACGATGTGTGATTCGAGGTTGGAGAAGATCGATTTAAAGGATTTCAACCTGAAATAGGGACAACAGTGGTGGGGCCTCTGCCAAGGGCAGCATCCAACAACGCCAGAACCTTTCGTTGTGGCAGCCATTCTAGAGGAAAGAGTGATTCAGAAGCCTATGGAAACGGGCGAGTTGATTATGAGATGAGTCGGACTTATGAAAGAAAGAAAATTAATATGGGTTGAGGAAAGGAACCCAACCCCCGCTTAGAGTGGAACAAATTTCAATCGAGGAAATTGGGGAGGAGACTCGTGCATAAGAAAGTTAAAGATGTTGATCTTTGAAGGAGAGGATGTCTATGATTTGGTTTATTAGGTGGAGAGATATTTATTTTAATGGGTTGACAAAGAAAGAAAAATTGATGATGGCAACAATGTATTTGGAAGGAAAGGCTCTAGTGTGGTATCAATAGATATAAAAACGTCAGTCAATCAGAATATGAAAGAATTCAAAAAACGATTGTTGGAGCATTTCATAACCATGGTGGAAGGGGATTTACACTAACAGTTTTTTACATTGGTCTAGGAATGGTCTATTATTGATTATAGGGAGAAATTTGAAATGTTATCCAGCCGTTTGAGAATAATATCAGAAGCAGTGTTTGAAGAAAACTTCATGAAGGGGTTGAAGCTAGAGGTTCGAAAGCACTTCGTCTACTGAGACCATAAGGATTGAGAAAAACTATGAAATTAACGCAGTTGGTAGAAGATATAAATGCAATGGAATAAACTAATATGAGTAGCACAAATGGAACGCCATAACGAAATACTACAACCATAACGATGCCAAAAACTCAAACAATGGGATTCCATATGGAGGCTCCAAGGGACAAATAATGGGTCAAGATTGAGGCAACATTCAAACGCCTTATAGAGACAGAGATTCAGAAGTAAGCCAAGGGGATTATATTTTCAGTGTGATGAAAAATTAGTCCTCGAACACTATTGAAAGGATAGAACCTTACAGACTCTCATAGTGTTTGATGAGGAGACAGACTATAAAGAAACAGAGGAGATTATGAAGGAGGGTGTGGAGGAGGAATAACCTCACTTGGATGTGGTAGAAATCTCATTGAACTCAATGGTAAGGTTAGCATCAAACTACACTATGAAACTTTGGGGACAGTTTAGAGAGTTGAACGTAATGGTGGTGGCAAACAGTGGAGCCACCCACAACTTCATCTTTATTCAAGTAATGCAGCAATTTAGGCTTAAGACAGTTATCACAGGGAGTTTTGGAGCCACGATGGAGACGAGATAGATGGAGAAGAACAGCAGAGTTTGTAAAAAGGTGATTTTAACACTGCAAAATATTCAGGTAATGGGGTATTTTCTTCCCTTGAATTTAAGGAGCACTGATATGATGTTGGGTAAAAGATAGTTATGGTCCTTAGAGGAGACTAAAATAATTGGAAAATCTTAACAATGGAGTTCCAAAAGAGATACAAAATGGTGATGCTTCCTAGTGATCCTAGTTTGTGCAAGCCCTTGGTGACACTTAAGGCCATGGTTAGGGCAATACAGAGAGCACGATTGAGATTCTTGATTAAGTTGCATAGCATGAAAAAGACACATGACATGGAGTTAATAGAGAATCCAGCACAGATCCAACAGCTCCTAGAATAATTTGCAGAAGTATTTCAGTTGTCACACGGATTATTGCTCAAAGGGAACACCAGCATACAATAACCCTGAGACCGGGGGTTTCTCATCTCAATGTGTGCCCATATCGCTACCCCCAAGGTTTTAATTCAACGCTAATAGAGCTGATTGAATCTTCTGGTAGAAGAAGATTCATTCAGATTAAGGAGATGGAGCTTAAGCTTCATGTAGACTAAAAAGACCCATTGATAACACTTTGTAATAATCGAAAAACTATCATTGTTGTTCTTAGTGGAAGTGATAAAAGTGTCTCGGATGATAATCACGATGAATAAAATATATTACTGACAATAGAAAATGTGATGTTTTTGCATCTTACAGATGGAAATTGGATGATAAAAATCAAAAACATCTTAACATGGATTGGGTTGACAGTGTGAAGCATGTTTTCGAGTATTTTACAGAAAAAACTTCTAGGCCTCTCTTCGAGCATCGGGATACCTCACTTGTATGGAGCTACAAGTATGCAAACGTTGAATTTATAAGAATTCATGCTACAATATCTATGGGCAGGTCCAATATCTAATAGAGTAGTTGATGTCCTCCAAAACAGTTGATCCATTGAGGTTCATTCAGTGGGCATCACTAAGGGTGATAAATTGATCAAATATTGTGATAAATTGCACATCAAGAACATGGTTACACCAATAGATTATGCACTTCCTGGGAGAAGATAGGGATATGGAAGTTCTTTAGAACCCATTTGAGTTAAAAGGTGTTCTTGACATGAGTCAATTTTACGTAACTATACATGCATTTTGCCCCTTTTTTACTTGTTATTTCACTTTATTTATCACGGATTTACGCTTGTGGAAGGTTTTTATTAGTGAGGTGCAAATTACAGGTGATCAAGCACGCATTTTTGGAGTGAGGAGAACTAAGATTTGAACTGTCAAAACTGGTATGGCCACGGCCCATATAGGCGTGACCACGCCATCGTATCGAAGGTAACAGTGTGACCACGCCCGGATTGGGCTTGACCACACCGCTCTATCAAAGGTTTGGCATGACCACACCACCTGATCCACAACACCGGCATGATCACGTCGCATTTGGGCATGACCACGCCGACGAAGCAGAAAATATTTTAGGAAAGATATTTCTTGCTAAATCCAAGATCTTGGCTATAAACAGTGATCTTAGGGCTACTTGGAGGATGCTGGGGGAACATTGGAGGCAGCTAGAAAGAGGAGATTTGAGGGTTTAAATGTAAACCCTAGAGTTTTCTTTTGGGGGAACATTGGAGGCAGCTAGAAAGAGGATATTTGAGGGTTTAAATGTAAACCCTAGAGTTTTCTTCTTCCTTGAAGGAGAGAACCTCTAGGGCAGTTTGCCTTCATTTTTTTCTTTTCTTTTCATGTTGATTTCCTTGTGAGAGTTGGAAAGATTGAGAGGTGAGGGTGAGTTCATTGTATGAAGGAGATTGGTGAGAGTTTGTATTGATCAAAGAGAAACGTGGTGTATTGTTGAGGACTGAGCGGCACTAGGTGAGTGTTTTGGACCTTTTGCACTACAATCTTTATTTTTGTGCATGCAATACAAGTATTTGTTTTTTTCTTTTATCATGCATTGTGATTGACTTAATTTCATGCCCCTATAATTACGCCATGTGGTTTTCTTGTGGTTTTTTTTCTATGAATTTTTTGTTCCTTCGACATCTTTTTGATACATTAACTTCTGATTTTAATGCGTTAACCTTTCGATCATAACTTATTTTTTATCGGATATGATAAGAATGTTAAAAAGTTTTCGTGATCTACGACTTCTGCTAATCACGTAGAAGAACAAATGGGTTAAACACAAAATCCTTGTAGAATAGGCATATTCTAATAGGAAGTTGCAACTAAGACAGGGGATCTGAAGAATCCTGAGAAATAACATAGGGTTAAGTGAAACTTAATTTTATG